ATTTCTCGTAAATAGCAGGAAGAACCTTTTCAAGGAGCATCTTCTTGTAAACGTCACCGTTCACGTTGACAGGCTTGGTAATAAGAGTACCAGCAKGACGGTTTACAGATCTTCGCTGAGCTGGTTTCTTCTCAACAAACGGCCATATTCCGATTTTGCCATCAAACCAAGAGTTGCGGTTGGTATCCCACMGTGGTCGAGCCGTCGCACACAAGAACATGACCTTCGTCATATGGTTCTTCGACTTGGAGGTCGACTTGGGTTCCGCTTCATCTGGGAGCAGATACGTAGTTTGCTTCGTGCGTTTCAAGTAGAACCACTTCTCGTCAATGTGGATATACTTGAAAAAGTCGTCAAATTTTCCATTGCTGTCAATGTGTTTCAATATCCATTCAACTCGCTTCAGCTTATTCGCATCTGTTAACAAAGGCTTCGTAGTTCCGTTATGCTTCTTTATTTGGCCACGTTTGACAAGTTTGTGCAGAGTAGTGGTTKGAATACCAGTTGCAGCTGAAAGGGTTCTTAGATCACCTCTGTCTTTGAGTGGGACATCTCTAATTGCATCAAGGTCGGATAGTGGTCTTGCTTTCCTTCCACACTTGTGTCTCCTCTTGCTAACATCACCAGCAGGGCAAGTGATTGGGTCAAATGTTTCGGTGTACCTCTTCCAAATCCTTCCAACCGTTTTTCTTGTTACTCCAAACAGCTCAGCTGGTTCCTTCAAAGCTCCCTTAGGAAGGGGCTTTCCAACAGTACTCCGTTGTTGTAAAAGGATCTGAATGATAGCTTGTCTTTKGTTGTTGGTCRAGTTCTTTTTAGATGGAGAGGCTTCACTTGCAGTATCGCTTGCAGTATCGCTCGCTGTATCGCTTGCCGTAGTAGTCGTATTGCTCGCCGTATCGCTTGCTGTATCGCTCGCCGTATTGCTTCCACTTGCCGTATCACTTGCTCCTGTTGTTGTTGCAGGAGTATTGCTCGCTTCAAGCAGCTCAGTTGCATTAGTTATCATCTTGCTGTTAGTTGATTTGCTTTAGAAAGAATGAAGGGGGGGAAAAGTGAGTCAAATGGTTGATTGTTGAATACGGCGGACCGGTCGATGGATCCCCTCTTAGTGGAAGCAACGGAGACGCGACCGATGGAAGCAACGGAGACGCTTCCCCTCTTAGTGGAAACAACGGAGGCGTTTCCCCCCCCCACTGGCGCGCAAGGCCCTCCCCCCCGCCTCTTAGTGGAAGCAACGGAGACGTAATCCCCTCTTAGTGGAAGCAACGGAGA